GCAGTGTCACTGGCCCTCATATGTGGGATCCGAACCGGGGCCCTCTGGTGCCCCAAGCCAGTTCTTAACCATCGCGCCACTCGGCCGGCCCTGAACCTTTTTTTTAAATGAGGATTTGTTGGGGGGATGTGTGGAAATAAGTTTGGGATATTGGGTACTTAGAATTGTGGTGTCACCAGCAGAACTCTTGAAGCTCTAATGTGATATGTTAACTAAAGGTTATTAAGGTGAAAATGGTAAAAAAAAAAATGTTAACATTTAAAATTTCATCCAAATGCTGTTTAAATTTAAGCTTTTGATAACATTAATTTTCATAATATGCTTGCCCCAAATAACATTGAAAAGTTAGACTTGAAATATTATCATCTCATTGTCATTTTCATATAATTCTCCCCGGTGGTTAGTATCTGTTTAGAATTTGTTTGCTATGGTTGCTGTAGCAAATCACAAATCTAGTGGCTTAAATAACACAAATACTATGTTACAGTTCTGTAAATTAGAAGTTTGACATGGATCTGCGCTAAAATCAAGATGTCAGCAGGCAGTGTTCCTTTCTGGAAAATCTAGGGTAGAGTGGTTTCCTTGCTTCTAGAGGCTCACGGCCCCATTCGTCCATCTTCAGGCCAGCAGCGCGACATCTTCCAGTTTGACTGTCCTGCCCCCTCTTATAAGGACCCCTGTGATGACACTAGGCCCACCCTGATAATCCAGGACAGCCTCCCCATCTCAAGATCATACCTTTAGTCACACCTGCAGAGTCCCTTCTACCATATAAAGTGACATTGTCACAGGTTCTTGGGATTAGGATGTAAAGATCTTTGAGCCATTTTCCAGCCCATCAGATTATCCAATGTGATACTTCAAAATCTGTGAAAACAATCACTAAACTTGGGAGATAAGTGGTGGAATGAAAAATGTTTCTAGATGAACAGATGTGACGTTATTGGATTTTTACAGAAAAGTGGATTTTCTCAAAGTAGATAGAAAATCAAATACTATACCATAGTGTGAGTTTGCTAAGACTGAAAAACTTAATATTGTGAATGTGTTTTTAGGTCCGTGATTGGAGGAAAAGGAGCATCAGAGCAACCAACTATGTTGAAAACAACTGGAAGAAACAGTGTAAGGAACTAGTGAACTTAATTTTTCAGTGTGAAGATTCTGAACCATTTAGACAACCTGTTGATTTGGTTGAATATCCAGTAAGTTGCCATTGTTGGAATGTTTTGGGCTTTTCTTAGTTTGTGTGGAGGAGATTGAGGTAGAGGTATTTAAATTAAACTTTTACAGAGTAACGTGTCTAGGTTTCATGTTAGCTTTTTGTCTTACCACGAAGTCAGCTGTAGAATAGTTATGTAATGAAGGAGTCTACGTGATTATCTATTGTCTAAGTAGGCCCAGCCCCAAGAAAACTATAAATTGGATAAAAAATGTGTCTTTACTCCAGTAGTAGGGGAATGGAAAATGACCTTTAAAAAGAAGTCAGGTTATAAAGCATAGATAGACTGTAGAAAGCTTGGATATTACAGAAGACTATAAAGGAGGAAATACAGACCATTCCATAGCCTGCTACCGAGTGTAACATTTTCGGTATATTTATTACCTCGTCTCTGTGTCTGGGCCTTTTAAAAAAATTATTAATGGTTCTTAAGGTCCTTCTAATTTATTTTCTCTTCTGTCATTTTGAATATTTAAAAAATCTGATATACTTGTATTTGTAAAAGCAGGAATTGAATCTTTGAACTAATTATTGTTTTTAAAACCTAGGACTACCGAGATATTATAGATACTCCAATGGATTTTGGAACAGTAAGAGAAACTTTAGAAGCGGAAAATTATGACAGCCCTTTGGAATTTTGCAAAGACATCCGGTTGATATTTAGCAATGCAAAAGCATATACACCAAACAAAAGATCAAAGGTAATTTTAAAAGTCGTTCGTGAAAAAAAAAAAAAACACAAAAAAGAGCATGCATGGTCTGTATAGATGATAATTTTCCACTCAACTGGTAGAGGTTGGAACATTAAAGATACATGAGTAGAGTAGTAGGTCTGCTAAGAACAGAGCTTCTGCACTGCCCAAATATGATATCTGCTGTTGCTGCCTTACAATTGTTTTTCTTCCCTAAAGTTTTACAAACAAGTGAGGATTGGTGAGAGGGAGGGCAGCCGTGAAAAATGAACAGATTTAAATTTGATATGTAGAATGAGAAAACTCTCTTCAGACATATGAGAACCTTGAAAAGTGGTTGGAAACTTACTGGAAGAATATTAAAAGTAAGAAAAGGGAAATCTAAAGGTAGGGGTGTGACTAATGGCATGCTAATATTTTGGGGAGCACAGTCCTAAATTTTTGTTAAAATGTTATATGTTGGATAAGATTTCAGAACTTGTCGAAGCATAATAAGAATACAACAATGCACATATACTCTGAATTTTCACAAAACATCATAAACCCTTGTAGTCAGTGTGCTGGGTAATTTTTAAAAACAATAATTTGAGAAGATTTTAAAGTAAAGCACTTGTTTGATGTTATAGCACTATCTCTTACCATCAGTGACTATCACTGTTAATTCATCATTTTGCCTTAATTTCACTTTCCCCTCATTACTTCACTATCGTGTTCTTCCTGCAGTACTCATTCTTGTCTCAGTCTGATAACTCATTGCATTCAATATGCAAATTGCTTATTGGATCAACGTAATATTCAAGTCGAGCATTTTTCAAGCTTGTGTTACTGTCAATATTCAGTGTTTGTGTGGCTGTTGATTTCCAGAAAGAAAAAAAATTTCATTCATGTCTTTAGTCCCCCTTTTGTTTGAAATACATGTTAGAGGATTCATACCATATATCTCACCATTTAAAGTGTTCAGTTTAATGGTTTTTGGTACATTACATTGTCAGATTTTCAAAATTGCAGGTAAATCTACATAACAAAATATTTTAATCATTTTAAGGGTATAATTCATAATTACATTCACAGTATTGTTCAACCATCACTGCTATCTATTTCTAAAACTTTCATCACTGCAGACAGAAACTTTAAAACCATTAAGCAATAACTCCACATTTTCCCCTTCCCTCAGCCCTTGGTAGCCTCTAATCTAATTTCTATCTCTATGAATTTGCCTATTCTAGATATTGCGTATAAGTTGAATACTACAATGTTTGTCCTTTTTCTGTCTGGCTTATTTCACTTACAATGTCTTAAAGGTTCATCCATGTTGTAGCATGTATTAGAACTTTATTTCTTTTTATGGCTGAATAATATTCCATTGTATGGGTTGGGTATATGGCATTTTGTTGATCCATTTATCTCTGGATGGACACGAGTTGTTTCTACTTTTTGGCTGTTGTGATTAATGCTGTAGTGAGTATTGGAATACAAGTATCTGTAAGAGTTCTTGCCCTCAGTTTCCTTGGGTGTACACTAAAGAGTGGAATTGCAGGTTCGTTTATAGGGTGATTGTATGTTTAGCTTTTTTAGGAACCACCAAACTATTTCATGATGGCTGCACCATGTTACATTCCTACTAGCAATGTATGAGGATGCCAGTTTCTCCACATCCTGGCCAATATTTGTTACTTTCTTTTCTTTTTTTTTTTAATTGTAGCCACCCTAGTGAGTGTGAAGTATTGTCTCATTGTGGTTTTTGATTTGCATTTCTCTTACGACTTATTACAAATTGTACGTGGGATTTATGTTAATCAGGCATGGTAAGACATGCAGATACAGAAGTGATTGTCAGGAAGGAAGAAGGGTATTCTCACAGATCCCTAGAAACAAGGAGGTATGACCCCCACCCCCCCTTGGAGGGCCACACGGAGATGGACAGCAGGCAGAGGGGGAGAAAGGGACGAGCATGGTTCAGAGCATATGATACTGGGGTGTTTGCAGGAAGGCAAGGCCTGGTGAAGTAAACATGTTAGGATTGACTAGCTTGAATAATTCTGGGAGTGTTGGCTGATCGGGGTGGTCTCCAGATGTCTGGTTCCTGGCCCCGGGATGAGGTAGCATAGGGGGATATCGGCTTGGTGTGGGAGAGTTGGATGAAGACGAAGGATGTGAATTCTAGATTGATTGTTTTATATATCGAAGACATACTTGTAAGGGAGTCTTTCGTTATCTTTAGGAATTAATTAGCTAGCCACAGAAGGGATAGTCTCTCAAGGATCGAGTCTCCAAATGCCAGAGCATCAAGAATACAGAAAATAAGAAAATGTAGTCAATACATGAAGGCCGTTGTGTATCATTTCATGTGCTTATTGGCTACTTGTATGTCTTTGGAGAAATATCTATTCAAGTGCTTTGCCCATTTTCTAATTGGATTTTTTGTCTTTTTGTTGAGTTGTAGGAATTTGTTAATATATTCTGGATATTAAACCCTTGTCAGATAAATGTTTTCCAAATATTTTATTTCATTCTGTGCATTGTCTTTTCACTTGTTGATAATATCCTTTGATATACAAAAGTTTTTCATTTTGATGAGGTTTAGTCTATTTTTTTTCTTTGGTTTCTTGTGCTTTTGGTTTCACGTCTAGGAATCCATTGCCAAATTCACCGTCTTCTAAGAGTTTAGTGGCCCACTCTTACGCTAAAATTGTTGATCCATATTGAGTTCATATTTGTATGTGGTGTAAGGTAGGGGGTCCAGTTCATTCTTTTGCCTGTGCAAATGCATTTATCTCAGCACCATCTGTTGAAAAGACTGTCCTTTCCCCCATTGAATGAACTTGGCATCCTTTTTGAAAATCAGTTGGCCACAGATACATGGGTTTATTTCTGAACTCAGTTCTATTCCATTGGTCTGTGTGTATGTGTCTGTCTGTCCATCTATTCGTCTATGTCAGCACTACAGTGTTTTGTTGACTGTAGCTTTGTAGTAAGTTTCGAAATCAGGAAATGTGAGTCCTCCCACTTTGTCCTTTTTCAAGATTTGGCTACTCAGGGGCCCTTTCAAGTCATTGTGTATTTGAGGACTGGCTTGGCCATTTCTGAAAAACTCCTTTGAATTTTTTATAGAGATTACGTTGAATGTGTAGATTGCTTTGCACAATATTGACATCCTAACAATGTTAAGTCTTCCTGTTTCTTAACGGGATGTTTTCCTATTTATTTAGGTCTAATTTCTTGGAGCAGTGTTTTGTAATTTTCGGTGACAAGTTTTACACCTCCTTGGTTAAATTTATTCCCAGAGAGTTTATTGTTTTAGATGCTATTTGAAATACAATTGCTTTAAAAAATTTTTTTTATGATTGTTCATTATTGATGTGTAGAAAATACAACCGATTCTCGTGTGTTTATCTCATACCCTGTAATTTTGCTGAATCATTTATGTGCTAATAGCTTTTTTTGTGGAATCTTTGAGTGTTTCTTCTATATGTAGAATCATGTCATCCATGAATAGAGTTTTACTTCCATCATTCCAATTGAATGATTTTTATTTCTTTTCTTTGTCTAATTGCTCTGGCTAGAATTTAAAGCACAGTATTGAACAGCAGTGGTGAAAGCAGACATCTTTGTCTCATTCCTGATCTCGAGGGAAAGATTTTCAGTCTTTCCTCATTGTGTGTGATGTCAGTTGGGTTTTTTATACATGCCCATTTTCATGTTGAGCTGATAATTTTAGCACCCATTTTTGTTAAATGTTTATTTTCAATTCAAATGTATTATTGAATTTTACATAAAAGCTAATGAGAAAACATGAAAATGGTGATAAGATAATCAGAGGTTTCAAACCTAATATGACTGCGAAAAAACCACTCTTGTTAAAATTGGTAACTTGGTTAGACTTCAGGTTTGAAGGATAAGAATAAATTTAATATATGCAGAAAATATTGAAAATAATTGTTAAAGATCATGTCAAGGATTACAAATTTCACATATTCATTTTACATATATGTATATTTTTATATGGCATATATGAAGCATATATGAAATTCATTTATCTCATATACTCTTTTTTAAGGTTCGTTAGTGTTAGAGTCTCTCCACCCTCCTCCACCATGCATCATAGTGATTGATATTTAGCTTCTGAACATTAGACTCGTGCTTTCAGGAATGATTGCAGACAAGTAGAGAGTACTTGCTGTAACTACATAGCTGTACTAAAAGTTACTTATAGTAGCACTTAATATCACATTGCTTTTCTTTTAAAGATCTGTGGTTATAAAAAATTTTAAAACATAATCTTTCATATAAAAGTTCCAGGGCATATTTTCTTTTTCTACTGGATGCAAGGTATCCATTTGTCTGTAATTTATGTTTAGATGTAAGTGGCATGAAAGGCAGTCAGATTACCAGTAGAGACTAGTGTAGAAATGCTTTTGTTCCCTCGCCCCAAGGAGGGAACTTTTGCTCTTTTGCTGCCTAAGTAGCAATCTGAAAACCAGCCTACTTCTCCCTCTAACTTTAGGCGAAGGGGACATTTTTGGGTTTGTACATGTAGATGTGAAAACTGGAAAAGCCAAGATACTTCCACTTCCTTTCAGATGTCATTGAAGCAAAGGGGTGGGAAATTAAGTAATGGCCATTATCTATAACAGCAGTATAATAGATTGCAAGTACCCTCAATGATTAAGTCATTTTTGGAAAAATATTTTAAAAGATATTTTGTGGTTATAGTTTTGCTTTCATCTCCTTGCAGATTTACAGTATGACCTTGAGATTGTCTGCCTTATTTGAAGAAAAAATGAAGAAAATCTCCTCTGATTTTAAAATTGGTCAAAAATTCAAAGAACAACTTCGAAGGAGCCAGAGATTCCAGAGACGGCAAAGTTATACCTGTGTCAACCAGGCCAACAGAAGTGTCAGGTGAATTGGTTATTACTGCAGGCTCTGTGCGCAGCTTTGTAAAACCTCAGGTTGTGAAAACATCTTTGACTTCATTATACTAAAAATTCTGAATCATTTTAGAGTACAGTATATTCAGAAAAGTATAGTCTTTTGACTTGAAGCAATATGTATATAGAGCTGTTGCATTGATCTGTAATTATGTAAATTTATAAGCATTTAATGAAAAACATTAATTTAAAAAACCTCATCAAGGAAAATTTGAAGTGTCATTTTTTTGCATAAGAAACTTTGTTAATTCAGAGAGTGAAGTGATTACTATGTTTGGCCAGTGAGCATTTGATTGTGTATGGGAAAATATCCATTAGGTATAATGTGTTTATGTTTTACTGAGAATTAGTGGTAAAGAAGAAGTATGAAATGCAGGGTTTATTCTCTTTTATCAGTAATTTAATATTAATTTATATTTTGTCTTCTTTGACTATGTAGCTTATATTAACATCAAATTGGGATGGCCGGTTAGCTCAGGTGGTTGGAGCACAGGACGCAGTGCTCATAACACCAAGGTTGTCTGTGCGATCCCCATATGGGCCACTGAGGTGTGCCCTCCACAACTAGATTGAAACAACTGCTTGACTTGGAGCCGATGGGTCATGCAGAAACACACTGTTCCCCAATAATCCCCAATAAAAATATTTTTAAGAAAATCAAATTTACAGGTTTTTTAAAGAATTGGAATGTGAAAATTGAGTTATCCAATGTTTAGTTTCTTTCCATGTGCAGCTTGAGTGTGCATAATACTCTTGCTGGATTTCTTCGTGGTGGTTCTGGGGATTATACTATGCATCTCAATTGAAAACAACCTCGTTTGGGGTAATAGTATTTAATTTCTATAGATATAAGAATTTTGTAGTTTAGCTCTCTTCCTCTGCTTGTTTGTGCTGTTAATGTCATATTACATCTTTATGTTTTATGCAGTTGTCTTAAATCAGTTAAGAAAACAAGTATTTATACTGCTATTTTACTTACCTACGTAATTAACTTTCCCTGTGGTCTTGATATCTTTTTGTGGATGTGACTTACCCTCTGGTGTCATTTTTCAGCCTAAAGTCCTTTAATATATCTTGTAAGGCAGATGTACTTGCAATTAATTCTGTTAGTCTTTGTTTACCTGGGACTCTTAATTTCACATTCATTCTTTAAGACTAGTTATATTGGACATAGAATTCCTAGTCGACAGCGTTTTTCCTTCAGCATTTTAAATATTTCATGCCATTGCCTGCTGACCTCCACTGTTTCTGATGAGAAGTCAGCTGTTGACTCCTCCATATGTATTGAGGCTCCCTCCCTTGTACATATGGAGCTGTTTTCCTCTTGCTGCTTTCAAGGTTTTCTCTTTGTATTTATCTGGCAATTAAATATGATGTGTATAGGTGTGGATTTCTTTCAGTTTATCCTCCTTGGAATTTGTCTAGCTTTGTGGATATGTAATGTTTTTCATCAAATTTGGGTGGTTTTCAGCTATTATTTCTTCCAGTATTTTTTTCCTGCCTTTTTCTTCTCCTTCCGGGGTACCTATTATACATATGCTGGTATGTTTAATGGTCTCCACAGGTCTCTGATGCTCTCTTCATTTTGTTTTTTTCTTGTTTTTGTTTTGTTTTTCTTTATGTTCTTCAGACTGGATAATCTTTATTGACTGACCTACCTTCAAATTTACTGATTCTTGTACCATCTCTGCCATTGGGCCCATCTCATGAATAGTTATTTCAGTTGTACTTTGCAACTCCAGAATTTCTATTTGGTTTGTTTGTTATAATTTCTATCTCTTTATTGATATTCTCTGTCATCATACTTTTCTTTAATTCTGTAAACATTTCATTTAGTCTTCAAACATATTTATAGTTGTTGATTTAAATATTTTATCAAAAATTCAGAAATAGCTGAAGTAAAACCAGTGAATCACTGAAGTGTAGTAATTAGTAAAAGTTTACTGTGCACACACCAAAAAGACAGTTTGTAAACCAGAAGCACTTACAGCAAAACATGGAATGAGGTTCAGAGACTATTTTATTCTTCACAGTGATTGGTTATAATATGAAAATCTTCCTTAGTTACCTTATATCAACTTTGGGAAATAGTTCGAGTTTTGTGTATAATTTCCAGAGGCATAAGCAAGAAATGACCCAGGTCAAGTTAGTCTTGCAAAATAAGCGAAGTTAAGCTTTATTTTTATGAGTAAACTGGCTTTGTCTGCTCAGGGAATTTTCAAGGCTTGTCTCCATTTGTTTTTGATTTTAACAATTTCTAGTCCAACGTTTGGGTCCTCTCAGTGGCAGGTTCTTGATGGCATTTTTTCCTGTATATGGACAATCTTTCTTGTTTCTATATCTCGTAATTTTTTGTTGAAAACTGGACATATTTAATAATGTGGCAACTCTGGAAGTCATACCGTATTTGCCGGCGTATAAGACGACTGGGCGTATAAGACGACCCCCTAACATTTCCACTCAGAATACAGAGTTTGTTATATACTCGCCGTATAAGACTACCCCCTCTTCCGCACACCTTCCACACACCAAATAAAAGGTAAAACAATATCAGATTTGATTTCAACATTTATATTTATATTCAAATGCTTATGACATGCAGGAAAACTGTCACAAGGCTGTATGTAATCAAACATATACATAAATCGCGATTCGCGATTTTGCGCTATCATACTGGGTGTATGGTCGGCTGTGTGCGATTTTGCGAGTGTGGTAAAATCGCATAACAGCAAAATCGCATAACAGCCGAGCATACACCCAGCAGCGCTGCTGATGCCTGAACGGTATGTGGAATGAAGTGGGCGGGCATCGGGAGGCCACTATGGCATGGGGCAAGCACTATGGGCAGTCTATCTGAAGTGTACCTGGCGTATAAGACGACCCCCCACTTGGAGGCATATTTTTCAGGGCCAAAAAATCGTCTTATACGCCGGCAAATACGGTATTTACCCCAGCTTTTGTTGTTAATGTATTGTAGCAGCTCTGGAGTGTGATGTTTTCCCTCATCGGTGGATGTTGCTGCTGGCTTTGTTTAGTGAATTGACTAGACCAATTTCTATAGAGTCTGTCTTCTCTGCAGTGTTTAGTTGCTGAAGTCTCCTTTCAAAAAAATTTTTAGAAAGAGAACTGACTCTGGGTAGTGAACACACAATGTGATAAATAGATGATGTATTACAGAATTGTAGACCTGAAATCTATGTAACTTAGCTAACAATTGTCACCCCAATAAACGTTCATTTTTTGAATTTTTTGAGCCTGTTTTTCTAGATGTCTTCCCTGGCTCATCATAGCTCACTGGTCAGAAACTTGTCCTTACAGACTTTAGGTAAGGCTTCCCCTGTTTTCTGAAGGGGTCTGTCTGTGAGATAGGGCACACCTCGCTTTTTGCTTATATTTTATCTGCTAAGAGTCTCAAAGTCAGCCAAGGATGAGTAATAAATAATAACTTGGCTCTCTCCAGTCTCTCTTGAATATGTGTGGAAGCTTGTACATCCCCAGGAAGATGCTTCAAAGACTTCTAAGGTTGTCCCATTCCCTAAATCTTCCTTTTTAGGTTTCTGGCTGAACTCTTTCTGGCTGTAACCATTGTATTGCCAGCAATATTTTTAGTGCCCTTGGGCCTGCGCCTTTCCTGTGGGGCTCCCATATCCGGTCAGCTCCCTGTACCTGCTAATCCTGGTCCTCAGGGCCATCATGCAACAGTATTGGGGGGTGTGGATGTGACCGCGAGGAGCCCCAAGTTAAATGCCAAAGATTCCACATTACTTAGATTCAGAGGTTTTTCTTGAATAACACTTTTTAATTTGTTAAATGCCTTTAATTACTTTCCAGAGTTCTGAAATGGATGTTTTGGATTTTTTTGTCAGCCTTATTTTTGCTTTTTGGGGGAGATGATTTGCTGAGGTCCTCATTGCATCCTTGTTCCCCATGTTTAGAATAACAGAGCCTCATTGGAATAGATAAACATCCTCCTTAGGTAAATGACCTAGCTGCTTTGCAACCTGTAATTCAAGTACATGTGTTACACAGTACTGTGTGAGTCCTCCCCCATCTCTTTTTTCTAACTTTTCATTTTGAAATAATTTCAGAATTACAGAAAAGTTGAAAATAATTCAAAGAACTGTGTACTCTACTTGGATGCATCAGTTGCTCACTTTATGCACAATTGCTTTATTTTTGCTTTATCATTCTGTTAACATTTTTTGCTTTTAAACCATTCAAAAGAATATTGGTGACATCATTCTCCTTTATCCCTAAATATTTCGTGTAGATTTGCTAAGAACAGGGTTCTAACCACACCTAATTTGTGTTTCTATAGTTGACGCAATAATGTCAAGGCAAATTTTTTTTCTAACCTAGATCATGCATTGCATTTAATTCCTATGTTTCTTTCTTTAGTCTCTTTTAATCTGGACTTTTATTTTCAATCTTTGTCTTTTTTTTTTTTTAAGATTTTATTGGGGAATTGGGGGAGGGGAACAGTGTTGGGGAATTGGGGAAGGGGACCAGCCAAGTTGTTCTTCAGCCTTTGTTGTGGAGGGCACCAGTCGCCATCTGGCTTCCCGTCTGCAGCTCGTGGCCTCTAAGCTCAAGGTGCTTGCTGTATTACAATCTTAGTTGTGGGTGAGCATAGCCACCATCCCATGCGGGAGTTGAACCCAGCAGCCTTGTTAAGAGTGCACACTCTATCCACTGAGCCACCTGGGCGGCAGCTCAGTTCAAGGTGCCAAGTTTAGTCTTAGTTGTGGGTGGGCATAGCCTACCATTGAACAGGCAATCTTGTTACACCAGCTGAGCCATCCTGCCACCTGTTGGCAGCTCAACTCAAGCGCAGCGTCACTGGCCCATGTGGGAATCGAATCGGTCGCCCCGTTGCTCAGAGCCCGTGGGCTCTTAATCCAACTCTTAACCGACTGAGCCACTTGGCTGGCCCCTCAACCTTTGTCTTCTTGATTGACATTTTTTGAGACATATGGATCATTTATTTTATAAAATGACTCTCAGTTTGGGTTTGTCTATTATTGTATGAGTTTTTAACGTTTTTTGTTTGTTTTTAAAAACTACTTTTTCTTTGAACCAAGAATCTTAACAGTTAATAAAAACAGAAAAAAATGGAGGTTTTACTCTTGAGGTATTATCAGCTTGTCTGCTGTTGAAAATTAAGTCTGTGATGAGTTTAAGCATGCAATTATTTCTTTTTGTACTGGTCTGCCCTCCAGTAATATTAATGGAAGTTAAAATTTTGACATAACAAGCTTGTTTTCTTGATTATGATGACAAACAATTACTGCTTTCAAGAATTGTGGTTATCTCTTAGCTGAAATGCTTTAGGTACTCCTAAAAAGCCCATTTATCTTTTTATTTTTAAGGAAAATAGGATTATCTCAAAGGGAGTAGTACCCAGATATTTAATGTAAATATAAAGATTATCTTGTTTTAAACTGCCACTATTTTTCCCCATAATCCATGGCTCAGGGGCCAAACATGGTGAACTGGCGCTTAGATGTTGGTTTCTCCTCTTAATTTTATATTGTGTTTAGAAACATATAAATGGGAGACTAGAGAGAAAGTTGAGTCATAGTGAGACTCCGCTTCATCACGCGAACGAACGTCTGTATTACATTAAGTGTTGGCTCCCCTTAGCATTTAACCCAAAGAACCTAAGGTTTTCAGTATGATTTTCTGTAGCTCTGTCACTTGGATCATTTGTTCATTACTCTAATTTGGAATAAAACAATCTCAAATTTAGAATAAGAGAATATTAATAGTAATCCATACCAGAAAAAAGATGTTAATAACAAATATTTTAATGTTTCGATCTAAAATTATTCTCAGATCAAATAATAATACATTTTTATTTAGGCATTTTCTGTTTTATTAAATATTGTTCCTTTGTTCATATCTTTGACCAGAAATACCAAGCAGAAGCGTTTAAAATCTCAGACAAGAGTAAGTCCTGAGTTGGCAGGTTCCCCGGCCCAGTCTACCTCAAGTCGGGCAGCTTATTCTGGAAGCCACAAGGGAAGTGCTAGTGTCTCTTCGGGTGTTACTTCTGGTGACTCTTCAGATTCAACAGATTCATCAGAAAGAACAAGAAGAAACAGGCCTGTCACTGTGACCAATGGTTCTACATTATCTGGTGAGAAGTAATAGAACATTGTTCTCCAGCCATCGAGTGCTCAAGTGTGTACCACTGCTTAGCGAGTGTGGGTTTAGAGGAAGGGCTGCCAAAGACATGGCCTTCACACTCAAGGAGTTTACAGTTCAACATACGAGACAAAGGCAGCAAATACAGACTATTCAAATATGTGTGATAAGCACTGTTCTTAATAAATGGTACAGCCACATTTTAGGCAAATTTGAATCCTTTGTATTTTAAATAATATGATATAAATACCACACTTCATGTGCAAAATTTGACATTTTTGTATTTCTTTAAATTAAAAAAAAACAAAGCATGGCAGTGATGTAAGTTTAAAGCTGATGACCTAGTAGATTTTACCCTCTTTAGAATGTTGTCATTTGGTAGTGTGATGACAGCGGGTGATGCTAACACTGTTGGCACTGTGTGAGTGTCTGTGGTGTTGATGTTCTTCAGTATTGCTCTGAGTGCTCTTGGTGACTTACAAGGGTAGTATAATAATTACTGTTGTAATTTAAAGTATTAGGAGCAAACAGGTAGAGTGCAGCCACGTTTTAGAGACTAGTAAGCCTTGCAGAAGTGTTTGGATTACTTGGTTGTGTCTCTTGCTGAGTAAGGGAGTCCCATGACGAATTCTGTATCAGGGAGAGCGGTCAATTTGGCAGTGATGTGCAGGGAAGGGGAAGAATCCGGGTACAGTCAGTGTGCCGGGCGATGGAATAGAGCAGAACAGTCAAAGCGGACAAACAGCAGAGCCCTTTCAAAGGAGGTGGCACACTTTGGTGACCGATACCCTCCTATCACAGCTGCATCCTTCACTAACATGGAGTTGGGTTGTATTATGGAGTAGAATTTTGTTTTTTAACAATACGTTCCCACTCATTTTGATGACATTTTCATTCTGTGATAGTCATGTAAGAAGCGAGTCTGAATGAAGAAACAGGAAATTAGGTATCTTGTGCTCACACTGGGGCATGCACTCATTTATGGGGAATAGTGGGGGAAAGTGACCTGTACTATTTAAATTATCCATCTCAGTTCCCCCCCTCCGTTTTTTTTATAGCATGTGGAAATGACCTGTTGTGAGCTGAATGCATGTGTGGTGTAACTGTGCTGTTAGGAAGGGCTACTAGAGACACCTCGGAGTTTGTCTACTGAAATGCTAGACTTGAAATGGTAGTGCCTTTCCTGTAGGAAATAGCTGTTTCATATAACAGATGAGAATGGAGAGTGGATGGAGCTAATGAAATTTTTAAGTGGAAGTTTATGTATTCAATATATAAACTGTATTGTCTGAATCCAAACTAGGATCAATATGCTACTTTCAGAAATAAGAGAACTTGATTCAGAATGCTGATTATTACCTTTTAGTACCAAAAATTTTTTCAGCTCTTCTTTGGAACAATTTTTTAAAACATAAAAGGATTTTAAGAACCGGATTTAAGTCTTTTGTTATGAAATAACTGCTTATGTGTGTAAAGATAGGAGGCTATATGTAACGAACTTTATTTTTCTTAGAAAGTGAAATGGAAGATTCCTTAGGTACCTCTTCGTCGTCTTCAGCCTCATGTAGTTCTGAGGAAAGCAGAGAGAGTTTGAGAGCTCGTGAGCCCTCCTTCCGTGGTAGGCTGGCCAGAAGCAGCACCCTCAGGGCGACCAGAACCAGGGCTGCTCAGAGAAAAGCTGGTAAGAGACTCTCAGTGGTGCTTTGGAGGAATGCATACCGAGAGAATCCAAGAGCTAAACATCGAAGGGTTTATTGCTTTAATGCATTTACATATGAGTAAATGTCCTTTAGGCTTTTTAAAAAAAATTGAGGTATAATTCACATATAACATTATATTAGTTTCAGGTGTACAAGATAATGATTTGATATTTCTATACATTGAGAAATGACCACAGGTCTAGTTATCATCCATCACCATATATAGTTTTAAAAATTTGGTTTTGTTGTGATGAGGACTTTTAAGATTTGCTCTCTCAGCAATTTTCACGTATGCAGTACAGTGTTATCTATAGTCACCATGCTGTACATTACATCCCCACGATTTATTATATTCCTGAAAATTAATACCTTTTGACCCCTTCACCCATTTTGCTGCCACGTGCCTGCGCGCCCCCCCCCCGCCCCCCCAACCACCAGTCTGTTCTTGGTATCTGTGAGCTTGGTTTTATTTGTTTTTTTAGATTACACATGTAAGTGAGATCACAGAGAATTTGTCGTCGTCCCCCCCCCCTCCCCCCCCCCCCCCCCCACACACACACTTATTTCACTTAGCATAGTGCCCTCAGGGTCCCTCCGTGTTGTTGCAAATAGCTAGATTCCATTCTTATAACTAATAGTTCATTGTACATACACTCCACATCTTGTTTATCCATTTATCTATTGATGGACACTTCGCTCAGTGGCTGCACCAATTTATATTCCCACCAGCAGTGCACAAGAGTTCCCTTTTCTCCTCGCCAACATTTTTTATTTTTTGTCTTTTTGATAATAGCCATTCTAACAGGTGTGAAGTGATATCTCATTGTGGTTTTGATTTGGTTTTCCTGATGATTAATGATGTTAAGCATCTTTTCTGTACACGTTGACTACCTGTATGTCTTCTTTAGAAAAATGTCTATTCAAATCCTCTGCCCATTTTTTAATTGGATTGGTTTCTTGCTAGTCAGTTGTATGAGTTCTTTATATGTTTTGAATATTACTAACCCTTATCAGATATATGATTTGCAAATATTTTCTCCCATTCAGTAGGCTGCCTTTCATTTTGTTGATGACTTTTTTGCTGTGCAGAAGCTTTTTAGTTTGGTGATTTAGTCCCACTTGTTCACTTTCGCTTCTGTTGCCTTTGCTTTTGGAGTCAGATCTAAAAACTCATCACCATCACCTAGGCCAATGTCAAGGGGCTTACCCCTTATGGTTTCTAGGAGTTTTATGGTTTTAGGTCTCACATTCAAGTCTTTAATCCATTTTTAGTTACGATTTTTGTTTGGGGTATAAGATAGTAGTCCAGTTGGTTCTTTTGCATATGGCTGTCCAGTTTCCCCAGTACCGTTTATTGAAGAGTCTGTCCCTTTCCCATTGTATATTCTTTCCTTCTTTGTCATAAATTAATTGACCACATATGTGTAGATTTATTTGTTGGCTGTCTATTCTGTTCCATCCTTTAGGCCTTTTAGATTTAGAAAGGGAATTATTTTGGCAGTGAAAAATAAGGAACATTAGTATTAGTACTAAAATAATAAAGTCATCAAAATCATGTTGAAATAAGGAAGACCTTTCTAATCATACTGTACTTTATTTCTAGGTCCAGTTTCTTTAGAAAATGGATGTGGCAGAAAAGCCACTCGAAAGAGAGTCTATTTAAGTGATTCTGATAACAATTCATTGGAGACTGGGGAAAGGCGAAAAGCCAGAGCGGGAAATAATCGGAAAGTTCTACGAAAGTGTGCTGCTGTGGCTGCCAATAAGATAAAGCTAATGAGTGACGCAGAGGAGAATTCTAGCTCGGAAAGTGTCTGTTCTGGCCGTAAACTGCCTCACCGCAATGCTTCTGCTGTAGCTAGACAAAAGTTACTACATAATTCAGAAGATGATCAGAGCTTAAAGTCAGAAATTGAAGAGGAGCTGAAAGACCAAAATCAGCCGTCACCAGTGCTCAGCTCTTGTGCTGCCCAGAGTGCTGCCAGTGACTCTGAAGATGGAGATTCAGAGTCAGAAAGTGATTTGCAGGCCATCCGGAAAGGCTGGCATGCTAATGGCTACAAGTCCCACACTCCAACTTCTAAAACAAAATTTCTCAAAATAGAGTCTTCTGAAGACGACTCTAAAAGTCATGGTTGGGATAATGGACATAACAGGACTGCTGGCCCATCGACATCTGGGCAGAAACTGCAGGCAGAAAGCGCATCAGAGGAAGAGGAGGAAGCAGGTTCTGAACTGAGAAAATATGCTGGCAGGAAACACAACACAGGTCGCAAGCATGCAACTTTCCTTAAAAAAGCAAAAATCTTCAGTGATTCAGATGACTCCGAATCTGAAGAAGGTAGAGAAGATGGCAGATGTCATGAAATGGAAACAAGCCGGCTTTCGGGAAATTCGAAGTCTGGCCCTATTGCTGGGTCCCAGTGTTTCTCAGATCATGTATCTGAAACTGATTTGGATTCAGATGATGACAAAACAACAGAAAAAGCCAACAGTTTTATGAACGGTAATTCGAACCATTTCACTGATTTGTTCTCAGTGTCCTCCTTTTCTTCCAGCGTACTTTGTTTTTTTCCCATGAAGCTTCTCCTCGCCCGGTGTTTGCTCCCCACCCGTGCCTTCCCCCTGCCCCTTCCTGCATGTGCTTTCTGTTCCTGCGTAGAGACACAACTGTTGCTCCAGTACGCTGAGCTGTATTCACGTAACAGGCAGTCTTGGCCTTAACTATTTCTGTTAAAGATTTCATTTCTTGTATTGGTGATGGGGATATAGTGTTGGCTGTGGGTTTAAGAAAAGCCGAGGCAAGCACATTTTTAAACTGGTGATGAAAGTTTGAGAAGAGGAGAGAAAAGGGAGAACTGGTTGAAAGGTATGTGGTAAGTAATGATAGCAGCTAACAGAACAGTTACTGAGCTATTTCTGTGTATCAGGAAGTTTTTCTAAATGCTTTATGTTTATTAATCAGTTTAGTCTTCATACCTTTTAAAAGCTAGGTACTATTATTGTCCATTTTACTAACAACTCTGGAGCATGGAGAGGTGAAATAACTTGTTAAGATTGTAGTCCTGGTAAGTGGGTACTGATGAAGAATATTAAGGAGCAGGAGGCAAAGTAGGTTATGTAGTTGGAACTTGTGAAGTTCAGAAAAGTTTCTGGGAGGCTGAGGGTAAGTGATTAGTTTCCATACCTTAGTGTGGTGGTAAAGAGAGCTTAGTCTGTATTCATGCAAATCAGATCTTCTAGTGTCAGGTGTTTTGTCATGTAGGTAGAAAGGCCTGAGATGGTACTGATGGGAGCGTGTTATACTTGTGAATGGTGCTGAGGCTGAGACAGTCACTGCTCTCAAGTATTAAGAGTCCGCCCCACTTACTGCCATGCTCCTTCCAAGTTAATAAGAAGAATTCTGGATGAAGTTGTTTAAAATATTGAACATTGAATTCCTTTAGACTTAGTCTTCTATTAAAGATTAAAGGAATACTCTTAATTTTTAGATTCTGCATCACAAGACCATGGACACAGCAGAAAATTTTCCAGGAAAAGGGTCTGTTCCAGTGACTCAGACGGCAATTCCAAGGTGGTTAAGAAGTCATCAAAAGCCAAAACGGGTCTCCTGAGGATTCCTCGAAGATGTGCGGCCACTGCGGCCAGTAAGATAAAGCTCATGAGTGATGTGGGAGATGCTAGTTTAGGAAATGTGTGTACTAGAAGCAAAAATGGAAGGAAAAAGCCCCTCCGTGTTGCACGTCCCACAGCTGAGCCGAATGGGAGTGATTCCGAGGGAGCTGTAGACGGTGAAGGGCCAGATGAACCGCGTTCCTGTGGAGGCGAGCCCGCCCATGCCGACTGGGAGGGCAGGATCAACAGCACAAAGCAGCCTCTGAGTGGGGACTCAGACTCTGAAGGGGTGTCAGATTCCGCACATGAGAGCAGGCCTGCCAGGCAGACGAGTAATCACAGAACAACTGCTGCGCCTTGGAGAACAAAGAATTCCTCAGTTGGGTCTTCAGAGGAGGATTCCAAAAGCCGTAATCCAGGGGGTGAGATTCGTAGAAAATTTTCTTCTGAGTCAACTTTGGCGCAAAAAGCTACTGCAGAGAATAATTTTGAAGAGGAATTGAATTATGGGTTGCGCAGGTGGAATGGCAGAAGACTCAGGACCTATGGGAAGGCTCCTTTCAGTAAGACAGAAGTGATTGAGGACGCACAGGAAGCCGCCAAGTCGGAAACGAAAAGGAAGAGACTGCATCCTGAGCTGGAAAATGCGAAGACTTCAGAAACAACAGGGAATTCGAAGTGCGGACCTGACACTAGTCCTAAATCTGATTCAGATTTGGGGTCTGGGACTGAGTCAGATGTTGACTCTGCTGATGAGACAAAAACCAAAAAGAGGAAAACGAAAGGAAAAGCAAAAGTAGTTAGAAAAGGTAAAACTTTTACAGCTAACATACCTAAAACTGTGAGGCGACAAAGACAACGCAAACGCCCTAGGTTAAGTGTGGATGATAATGACTGGGAGGATTTGGACTATGCAAAATCTAAGAGAGTTCTTCGACGTTCCAAAATAAAAACGAGAAATCAGGGTAGAAGGACCGTGAGATACCATGATGGGGATGATGAGAGAAGCTTAGAAAATGTGTTAGATTTTGATGATTGCACCTTATGACCTTGAGGGAAAACCAGTTCATTTAAAGGAAGTGGACTGGAATTTATGGTGAAAGTTGGCTGTTGAAATTATTTTTTTGTCCTACAATTCAGGGAATATATTTATATTTTTCTATGAAAAGTTATGAATGTGACAAAATCATGACTGTTATTTTTGTTTGCACTTGCTTGCCCTTGTAGCAGCGTTCAGCACAGGTGCCAAAATATGCTTCATTTTGGGGGCAGATCTACTTTGACAGTATTTAACTGCAGAGAGCAAGAGTCTGAAATGTGTTTAACACTAGACATCCTGGTTATGAAACCAGTGAGCATTACCTTCTGGTAGCAAGTGCCATACAGCTACTTTCTAAATTCATGAAGAGGTGGTAGTTTCTAACCCCTGTCCTGTTATAGTGTAACAAGTTCACATGACCTATGTTTACAGACTTGTCATAAATATTATGTGCATACTGACATTACAATCATGGCAAGTGTAACCATGATTAGTAGGCAAGGTACCTACCACTTTTTTTTCTTTCCCTGGCTACTTGAGTAGAATGCATTATACCAGATTTGGTCATTTTCATTGCAATTGTTTCCAATGTTGTTGGGTCGGTCTCTCTCTCTCTCTCCTTCTCTCTCTCTCTCTCTCTCTCTCTCTCTCTCTCTCTCTCTCTCTCTCTCTCTCTCCCTCTCTCTCTAGGGAA